GGACACCCTTTTTTTCTAAATATTTTTGTTTGACCTCATTTTCTTGGATCATGTTAAGTTTATGTGATACTTGTAGTAAAGCTTTATATTTAGGACTATCAACTTAAAATCAATGGTCAGTAAAGCAGGAGAGACATTTCAGCGTGTGCACTCTTGTTTACATAACTAGCTATTAGTTAACATTGTTAACAAAAAATTAAAGACAATCATTGGACGTGCACAATGCATGAATCTACTAGAACCACGGTACAAGTATAAAAACGAGATTTGTTAAACCATTTTATTTTATATTTATCACATTTCTTATCGAATCACATTATGCTTTGTCTCAATGTTTAACAAAAATAGGAAGAGTTCAAAATAAAAAGACTAAATTAAGGTCCTAAAAATGCTGAACGAAGCAATGCCCCGTCAATAAATGCACACTGGGATAAAGTTGTTCACGTTCACCATCACTTTATATTACACGTCTATCTATTGTCTGAATTCGTGTATCGTGATGATGTGTACATGCCACCCTGGTCACGTGCCTCACGTGGTGGTGTTGGCTGCGTTGGATGACGTACAACTCTTACTGGTTGCTGTGGACGACGTTGTCTTGATGAACTTGACCTATTATTACTCCCACGCGATGATTGGCTGCTCTGGCTTGGCGTCCTTGGGTCTGGCTGGGTTGGTTGTTGATTCAATGCTTCTGCCATTTCTGCAGCACTTTCGTTCAAGCGTGACGCGATTCTCATTAGATAAGTAGAAGCGAGCTGTTCACGGTGTTCTCGAAGTTGTTCCAAATAATGATCGTCGTTTTCATCTGTTTGTTGGTCATTTTCAGATCCTTGTAATAAACGGTTTCTGATATTTGAAGAAATATCATCAGGCAAAATGTTGCTATCGTCGTCGTTATGTTCTATGTCGTTTTCATTATCAGGGCTCTCGTTTTCGTCACAGTCAAGTTCTGGTAAATATAAAGCCGGATTAAGACGATGCGAGTCCAAACTGTCTAGTAAGACTAGCTGATGAGCTGGAACTGGGTTCTTCAACGAAAGGTCTTCAATAGTTGTAACTTCCCCTAGGCCACTCATTTCTGACAAGAATAAACATTCGTTAGGAGCTTCAAATTTGCAAGTAATGAAAAGTTCATCATCGGTTGCTTCGGCCGTACATGTAAATTCCGTCTCCTTTTCTTTTAGTTGTTGCTGAACTGTGAACAATTGTCTTATGTCATTGTTCGACCTTGCTTTTGTAAATGTGTCGTAAAGTTTCTGTAACTGTGATCCCTGGGTACAGATATCAACAAAACGCGTGTTTATCTTTTGTTTCTGTTCTTGTACGCTTTCCCGCAATATTTTAATGAGCGCCTCTTGTCTTCGCTCTAGCAATAATCTGTATTCTATAAAAGTGTCTTTGATAGTTGATCTAAGCTTTCTTTCTAGTAGGTCTAATTGTTTTGAAGCATTTGCAAGTGAATCTGTTCGCCCTTTCATTTTATCAAGCATGCCTTTATTTTTATCGTTCATTTCATCAAACTCATTACTGTTCTCGGACAACGCCTCCGTGACATCAACAATCACGTGCTCTTGTCCCTCTTTGTGATCAAGAACGGTACAGTCACGGCAAACGGGGATCAAACATTTCTTACAAAAAAAGTTCAGTGGCTGGTTTTCGTGTTTAGAGCAAACATTTTGAGATTTTGTAGTTACACGTGACAAAAAGTCCATCATTTGTATAACACGATGGTCTGAGGGCAGAGCACTGATTTCAGTTCGGCTCAGAAAAATTTCTACTCGGCATTCTGGGCACTTTAATACACCTTCCAAGTTATCGTCCATCCATGGAACTGTTCTTCTAGAATTCTGATGATGGTGGTCGAAAACGGATTTGAGACATGTCAGACAGAAAGTATGATTGCATGGTAGTGATTTCGGTAGTCTGTCTGATTGGCTATATTTCTCGTTACATATGTGGCACCTTAAGAATTGTTCTTCAAAGGCAGCTTCGTCTACAATTAAACTTCTCTTTGGGCCATTGTCTGTCTGATCCTCGCCTGCAGTTGCCATTACTATATGTATTTTCTACAATAAAAAATGATAGTATCAAATTGACAGTCCATATTTCTATCTTATGATATTATGAACCTGGTTTGAGGTTGCAGGGGGTAGAGAACTTACAAGTATTTTGTGTAATGGGTCACCAAAGAATCGCTGTCGAGTCGTTATTTGTATGGAATGAGAACAAGCGTGCAAAAACTCATCAAAGGTACCAGGCTGATAATTTGGTTCGCAAGACGCCCGTTTCTATAAATAATTAAGACTCACTAGTATCGCTCGAATCAAAATAGTTGAAAAACTAAATCAAGTACGACATTGAAGAACATTTTGAAAATTAACAAGTTGTAACAAATAGATATTCCTTTTATTCTAGTCAAAATGCAAACGAATTTGAGTTAAATAATTAAGAATATAATTCCTAAAAACATCATTTGTTTAGAAACCTTAAATGTGACAAATTAAAATGGCAGACATTGAATTGTTTACATAAAATATGAAATAAATAATATTTATTCACCAAGCCGTAAATGTTTTAGTTTTTGCAAAAAGGGATAATACAATCAATTTCTCTGGCAAATCACTGTATTAGGTGTCGGCAACTTTTGTCAGAGGGAGATAACGAGAATTCATTTTAGATCTGGCAGAAAAAGTAATGGTAATATAGAATGAAGAAAGCTTGAACTATTTATTTAACTGTCAGCTGTTAAATGTACGTTGATGAGACAGCAACCCAACGACACAAATAACTTAAAGAGATCTAGAGGTTAACATACATTCCTATAGACAGGTGTCTTTACAATATGTTAAGTTCTAAATAGCACATATATACATAATTTCATAGGTCTCAGTATTTTACTGATTAAACAATGAATTATATTTGCATATGATAATTTTGTATACATGCTATTTGTTGAACTGTTTTGTTTTGTTTTTTTTTATTTTGTAATAAACGTTTTTTTCGTTAACATATTTGATCAATACAGCTAGTAAAGATTAAATATGAATGACGACAGAACCTTCGAACAAAGGTGGCATTATGCCAAAGTAGATGACAAAAATATATATATTACGGAGTACACTACAGGTGCTTCGGGGATATTTTTTAAATCTGATTTGCAGTTAATATATATATAAAAATCTGTTTTCATCATTCTATATTTCTGAAGGTTCTAATAAAAATTATAGAGAAAACAAAATAAAATAAGATTTTCCTATATTCATAACATTAAATATTTCGACTTTTTTATGTTACTTCAATACACTCTTTCGTTTTTTAAACAAATAAAGTTGCTAGTGAACGGCATTTTAAGGAAAAACAAAAATTCTTAAACCAAATGACACATTTAGTACATTGTCTTCATCCATAAATAATCTCTTAGTAAGTTTACGTTATAACTGAAAGTTCATTAATTATACAAAATTATTTCAGTAAGTTGATAATTTATACGGGAAAAATTAAAACTACTTACCGATGGCTATATTTTGAAATTATATATACCGATGTTATGTGATGTAAACACTGTACCAATAATACCAGTACGAATTTTTTAAGTTTTGTATATATAGTTTAGCCACGTGACTCATCTTTTAAATCAATGTATGTAAACATTTGAACAAAGACATGAAACGGTTGTGTTGTAAACATTTGGATGTGTATTGGAAACAGGGGGCGTTAACATCCTTATCATCGTAATGAATATTCATAATATGATTCTTCCTCATTTGAATCAGCAACACAATTTCTGCCCCAAATTTGATGGATTTATCAGAAAATGTACATGTTTTTATTTTATATCTTGTGGAAATGGAATATGTTACTGTACTGTACAGTATTTCACCTAAAGAAATATATTTTCAGAAATGTTTATATTGAGATCTTTTGATGTTGAATATTCATTAGGTTGACAAATTTACTATGATGTAAGCATATACAGCTGAGCATCCCACGCCCCTCTCGGAGTGGAACAACGTATTTTAAAAAGAATCTAAGATAAATATTTTCAGTTGCGTCACATAAAAAAAAAATAAAATTAATACGTAAAATTTCGATTTCCGAGTTTTTCTAAATAAGAATCATAATTGTTTAAGATTCTCTTCGAATGAATAACTCAAGTCAATTGAATTCGAATTGAAATGTATAACGTGAATAAGAAATACTAGTAAAGTATTATTTTGTCAAAACATCGACAGAGTTTTTCTTTTATAAACAAAAAGGACCTTTACAGAAAGAAACTGACCTTAAATCAAACGATCCTTCTTTGTTTATATATTTGCCACCATAGTTAAAATATTACCAAAACAAGTTTCAACAAGACATTTGTATAATCGTATAAATCTATACCTGAGTGTAAAAATCAATACGCACGCAACATAAACAGGTGTATAAATTAATTTAAACCTATAGCTACTGTTTAGAGGTTGAAATGTAAACAGCATTGAAAACATATGAATGCTAATCGTGCATATTTAAGATTTAATAAAATGATACTGGTTAAAATCGGAGTTTTTTTATTGAAAGACCAACGAGAAATCGATGTAATGGAGAAACGTAAACCAGTAAAATTGATATGTATAATATTAGAGTGACCTCCCCTTATTTCCTATAAAATGACTGATATTGAGATATTATAAGATATATATTTTTTTCTATAGAAATCAAGTATCAAAATGGATCGTTTAATATCTTTTCTAGGAGAAGAAATGTTTTCTTCATAAAAAGGGCTATTCGTCATTTATTTAAGTCACTAAATCTTTTTGAAACATGTACATGATATTGTAATCAGTTCCAACACCCTCTATGTCAGTGGTAGTCCCTAGACTTCCGAAAAAGCAACACTCGATTTATTTATTCTCATTTTATTATTCTTAGTTGATATTATGTTGAATTGTACTACAATGTACTTTTTAATTGAATCAAGTTACTTAAATAGCTTACACATTTGATCATATCATTTCAATTGACCCTAAAAGATAAAAAGTCATTTAAATTCATTGACCCGTTATTAAAGCTTACTTCGCCTCAAAGCCTCGTAAGAACCTCCAACGAATGATCATTAAGTAAAGTACATATTATTAGAATGATAATAGAACTACAAATGCTAAGCGTGAAAGTGTGACAAAGGTCCTCCAGTTTAAAGACCATTTAAATTAAACTTTTACAATATTGCTTTACATGTTTGTATAGATCATAAAGAACATGGGATTATTGCCTTTGTTTTCAGTTAATCTTGGTATCCATTACACTAAGTAATTCATTGTGTATTGCATAGTACTAAATAAGACAAAATTTACCGGCGAGACAGACATGTTCGAGAATTTAAATGAGTGACAATGTGATATATATGACCATTGCCAAGTTCTAATTTGGAACTTTGGTTCAGGGAAAGTTTCGCTCAGATAAATGAGATAATTCTACAACTTAGAAATGGTTTAACGAGAAATGATAGAAAACTATAGATATTAAAACAAGGATTCGTAGTTGCTATTAAACACTGTGTATGAATTAAAAAAATTATATATCTGGAATGTGAAAGCTGTTTTATGTTGAACCTGTGCATTTAGAGACGAAAATGAATAGCAGAAGAAAACAGATCAATATGACGCAAGAACTAGTATAGTTAGCGTAGATTTCGATTAATTCTAAGTCAATTTTAAAGTCTGTGAAAATACAAACGATGTCGACTGGAAAAGAAACGCCAGTTCCACCTTTCCTTCCTTCTTCCAATGTGATGACAAATGGATACTTTGGAGGGGTTAGTATAGACTCGGCAAACCTCAACTGTGTTCAGGTTGATCATGTAGAGGAAGTTGTCTCCCTTCGGAGATCGGTTGATCTTGGATACATCACATCAACCACCATTGATAATGAAGATCCTAGGAATAAATATAAAGAGACTGAGGAAGTGATATTACACGAAACAAAACCCAAGTACAGGGATATGTCTGCTCAGATGAAAGAGTATAACGTCAATTATAACGGGCTGATTATTATTCCATGGGAGGAATTTGCTGAAAATCCGAGGAAATTAAACGACTTATTTTACTTAGAGAAAAATGGACTTATAACATATGACCCTGACGAAGTAAATGTGTTTTTCCATGCAACAAAAATGAATAAACCAACATTTGGGGATATAAGTGAAAACGGCAAAGCATGGTAAGCTTTGAATTTGAATTACAGTGATCTATTCGTTGTTGTTTTTTCGGTTGTGCATTTTTTTCTCTCTCAGGTAATTCTTGTTTTAAAGATCCATTGGTATTTGATCCATATTATTTTCTCTATTTTACACTTATATCCAATTCGTATATAAAACGATACTGTTAATGACTTTTAAATTATTTAAATACCAATAGACAGGGACATCCTTATAACATTTTGACCAGTAGTTTAGCTGCATCCAAGGACAATTTGGTTTTCAGAAGAGATTTAGAACTATATTAGATGACAGGTAAATTTATTGGTGTATAATTCCATAGATTTGTTTTTGAGATGCCTCATGATTTACCTTAAACCGTATACTTTGCCATAACCATATCTTACTATATTGCTCATGAAATTCTTAAATGGGAAAATGTGGTCTATTTATGTGCTGAAATTGGGCTTTGAACTAGCTTTCAGTAACTAAAAGTACTCTTAAGCGATACTAAGTATTTGTCTTTTGTCAATTTGGCATTTTTTTTTTTTTTTTGTGTTTGCATAGTATATGCCGATTCTAAACCTTTACAATTGATTTTTACAGTTTTCTAAACTGTTACACCATAACACCACTGACCTGGGTAAGTGGGGTATTGAGCGCGAGCAAACGTTTTTAATCCCGCCCATTATGTTCATGTCTGAAGCCTGGAATCTGTAGTTCAGTGGTTGTCGTTTGTTGCTGTCTGTCATGATTGGTATAGGCATAAAAAAAGATGTTGTATTTTCTTTCTCGACATTTTGTTATCCCGTTGCCTTGTGTTGTTGTTATCATCATTGACCTTTGGTCCTTGAGTAGAAATTTGTCGAATTGCCAATCATACCACATCGTATTTGTTAAAGTAAAAATTTTGACACACACGATGAATCATCTTTTCGTTCAACATGTTTTAAGGTCCAAAGGATGGAGAAAATTTAGATATGTCATTTATATCTTCAGCTCTTTGTCTGCCGACGTTAGATCCTACCATGGGTCATTGTGATTCTATCCATGCTTCAATAATGAGATGCATAAATGTTATGCAAGAAGGCAAAAAGTTTTGTCTGGAGGTACACCAAATAAATGTTTTCTCCTTCATGTATTGATATGGCAAGTCGTGTTACTATTTATTCTTACATTAAGATATCTCATATAATTTCCTTTATAAGATATCTTATAAACTTTATAAGATATCTCATAAAATTAAAATTTCAAAAACAAATCTATGGAATTATACACCTATACCTTTTCCAGTCATATAATATAGTTTCAACCTTATTTGTAAATCACAAATGTATATAAAAATGTGGGTTTATTTTTCTTTAGTAAGCCACATTAGATACAGTTGTAATGAACGAGTTTAACGGAATTCACAAAAAAAAAAAATATATAAGACACATACATTTCAACAAATAAGTTACAAAATCCTCAAGTAGAGTTCAAAAATAAGCATAGAGCAAAAGAAAGCAGAAAGGGGAAAAATTATTGAACAGATAAATCTGACATGACCAAGAAAATGTTTCACTAACCTTTCAAGAAAGAAAAATGTAAAATTCTCTAGAAAAAAATAACGCCAACATATTTGCTCAGAAACTCAACACCATAATTTTATTATATTTTAGGGTTGTAAACGTGGAGAAGATAAAGGACCTAGAACAAGTAAGGGTGTGGTTAATAGAAAGGGTGTCAGTGTTTGGTGTGACCCTAGTCCGGAAAACCTCACGATTCGGCAAGCCCGAAAGAGGTATATTATATACGTTAAGTATAATCTCAAATATTTTTATTCGCACATTTTTTTCCCATCTTCCCATGGGCACCTAACATTAAAAGTTATTCGTCAAACGTTGCAAAACAGTATATAACATCACCAAATATTGTAGTTAAAGTACAGGTGTTGCTGTAAGAATTATTTCAAAATTTCTGAGAACATCAAGATAAGTGTTTTTCGTTTGGTAAATGAATATATTGGTAATTTTACTCATATTATTCACCTTTTTTCAATAAAAAATCAAAACTTATAAGCAAAAAACCAAAAAGGAGAACAAAACAAACAAAGTCCTCATGAATGCCTTCTGTCAAAGTTGCATTTTTAGTTTCTCTCGGTGTATATTATTATCCATTTAGTTATTTTTGCTTATACACATAATTACTTCGGGAATTAAATATAGCAAAGCAAACATTAGTGTACGATACAAAACGGTCTAACTTCATGTCGAACCGAAAACACCTTTAGGCTTTAGCGGAACATTTTAACCATCTATTCGAAACACTTCGAATAACAACTTTTCAGCACTAATATCTAATTGCTTTAGTAAAAATTTTGACAAACAGGACGGATTATCTATTCGTTCAACATGTTGTTAGATCCAAAGATTGGAGACAATTCAGATATTATCTCATTTATATCTTCAGCTCCTTGCCTGGTGATGTTAGATCCCACCATGGGTCATGGTGATTCTATCCATGCTTCAATAATGAGATGTATAAATGTTATGCAAGAAGGCAAAAAGTTTTGTCTCGAGGTACACTTAATAAACGTTTTCTCTTTCAAGTATTAATGTTAACTTACCTATAAATTAGTTTTCATCGAATGCAATTTATATTAAAAATATCTTGAATTGATTATCTTTTACATCCAATCTGATTAGAATACAGATATGTGTTCAAGCTTTGCTTGCAAGGCTTAGACCCAGGATCTGTATTCTAATCAGATTGTTTACATAATTGTTTACATCATTGTTTTCCTCATAAACTTTTTGTTTGCTATAAAAGTGTTTTGTATTTTTCTTAATTTAATGTGTGGTAATTATTTTAAAAATGAAAAAAAAAATATAATAGACGATAAATTAACCGCACGTAACAAAAAAAAGCAAGCTTATATACATTATTTTATAATAGTAATGTGCTTTATTTATCAATCAGATCAATTTGAATGGTTGTGTTGAGCGATGGTGTCGTAGAATCACCATGACAAAGTGTGAAGCTGTTGGTGCTAAACTGGTAATCACAAATGGTGAGGAACAGGCCGACCTCACAGACGCAGAAAACATCATCTGTTGTATAGTCTGTCTACCAATCTGGTCAATACAGGCCGGTATCTATAAGGTATGTCCGGGTCATGTAAACATCATCTGTTGTATAGTCTGTCTATAATACCAATGTGGTCAATACAGGCCGGTATCTGGCAGCATTTTAAACTGTCTGGACCAACCATTTTTTTTTTTAATTTAAACCATTGTCTATAGATAAAGACTAGTTTTTTTTAAATATTTGCTAGACAATTGGTTGGTATTTTTTTATTGTCTGGGTGAAACAAATTACAACATTTAATCTTTAAGGCAAGTTCTGAAATTTGGATTGGAAGATAGGTAGATAAGTGGGAATGTCAGTGCAAAATGAAAGCCTATACATGGCAGAGTTAACCAATTTTGCTATGCATTAGGTCACCTACGGACAACATTTTTATAAGACTTGTTGCATAGATGGTGACATCTCTCCCAAGACAAAGATAAAATTGAGAATGGAAATGGGGAATATGTCAAAGAGATAACAACCCGACCAAAGAGCACACAACAGCCGAAGGCCACCAATGGGTCTTCAACGCAGCGAGAAAATCCCGCACCCGGAGGTGGTATATTAGTAGTGGCTGCGTATTTACACATCCCATGCAGTTAAATGGGCGTATATATCTTACCACGGGATCTACCCAGTAGCCATCATGCCAGGAATCAAGGTTACCAAATACTCGGCTATAATTATATACAGACACCTTGATGCCTGGTGTATTAAAAGTACCAACTTCTACGAAATTGGGGCCAATATCACGTGTTCCCGCTTTGCCTACAAGATCCGTATAATTGCCATGTGGTCAAATCAAAATAAAGAAAAGTTAGAGAATTGCACGATATCAAGATATATATCGGAGTTTATTTCGGACTTTTCATGCAGTCTACACATCCTATTACTGTCGATCGTTGAGGAATTTCAGTCGTAATATTTCTATATTTGAAGTTATTACGGTTATCGCTCTGGCAATGTTATACACAAAATCAAAACCTTCTGCTTGTTGATAATACGTGTAACATCATTGTAGTAGAAAAGGGAAATTAACTAATAGAAAATTACATTAAGCTATAGCGTATTTGTCAATCAAGTAAAATAATAAATACGATGTAAACGTGGTTTCCGAATGTGAAGCTCAGCCATAAATATTTTATAAGAATTCCCGTTTAAAACATTTCTTTCTACTTTAACGTTTCAAATAATTAAATTCAATTTCTTTAATTTTTAGATTCACAGACGTGCACAGTACAAAGACTTAGAATTGAAATTTGACGCAGAGGAATTATTTCTGCATGGCACACTGGGTGGTGTCAAGAACCAGAGAGCAAAGTTGTTTAGAGGTATAGTTTTGTATTTTATAAAATATGTAAAACAAGTTTAACAAGAGACAATTAATTAAACATAGTGTGTATGATTTTTGTTTGCTTCCTTATTTACCTTTTCTGTTCAATTTCATACATTTTATTGGCTGAGATACAGAAATTTTAACCATAACTTCTATTTGTTTAAAGCAAAATATTCAAACATATTTCAACAAGGCGTGTGTATATGAGACAAAACCAAAAAATATTCACATTTTCTCAAGGGACCAAAAATCTCAGCAAAAGCATGGGAAACGAAGCACCGACTATCACTAACGATAAAATGTTATTCCTAAAACATCATTTTAAGTATTCATTATCTGCAGAATATATAGTATTTAAAGAGGTAAAAAATTACATGGCACTTTAAAGATTTTGTGTGATAACAAATGCAAGAGTCATAATCTTTGTTAAAAGTTAAGCGGAGTAAATACATTATTCTTTATTCATAAAAAAAAATAAAATAATAAATCTATAAATAAAAATGTTGACATTTTGTTTTCATTAAGATTATCAGAAAGAAATATTCCGAACTAAACCATTGGAAGAAGCAGGTGAAGAGTTTCAAGTACATACTAATGTTGATAGACACGGTAGTAATAAGTATATCTCAGTGAAGAAAGCAGTTAAGAGCGGAAATAGTGATGAGAATCATTCATATATAGAATACGAAACGACAGATATTAGTGATCTATTAACTAAAGATAATGAACAACTGAAAGACAAATTCAAGCAGACTAGTCATAGGTATGAAGGCTTCCAGACAACACAAGAACAAAATGAACTTGGACGAAACTCGCTACGGACAACATATGAAGATAGGAACGATATCAAAGTGGATCGGCCGAATATCTTTGTAACGAACACAGAAAGCAATAACTTAGACATCAGCCGTCTTAATCTTCGTGAAAACACAAATTCCTCAGACTCTTCGGGATTTGGAGGCGATTCAAAAGGTGAAAACAAAATTAAATCTATTATGGAGGTAGAGTCGTGCACTATGAGAAAGGAGTTATCTCCCATCCCATCAGCGAGAACCGTCAATAGTGACATTATGATAATAACACAGTCAAATGAAGAGGACAATGGTGAAGGAAGTGAAATCGATCTCAGGACATTCTTGCAAACAGAGTTAGCTCCACCGGAAAAAACAAAAAAGAAAAGTAAAAAGCATAAAAGAAGTTCAAAACCTCCAAAGTCGCCTTCAAAGAAACCAAAAAATAAAAGTGGAGTTGACAACAATGCATTTGACCCTGAAAGCGAGAATAAATTTCGCCGAGTGCTGCCATCCAAACGTCGAAGTCTTGAAAGTATTGACACATTGGAATCAAACGACAATATTGACAAAGGAAGTATTATGGATTCATTTCCCATCGGAAGTCTTGATTCACTTCCTACAGGAAGCCATGATTCTCTAGACACCATATTAAACGATCAGGGATCAGTGGAAAATCCTCCATCAGATAACGAAGTTATGTCATTAAAAGCTGACTTCGACGAAGAATTGTTTATTCCATCTGGAGATGAAGGTAATACCTCAAGTGGTGATAGAGTTTTTCAGTTCAACGACAAATTAAATAAAAATGACGAGAGTACAGAGGAAGAGGAGATAAACGGTCAATCGAGTGGTCCTAGAAAGAATCACCTGGTGTTTCAGGATGATATATCCTGTGATGATCTTGAACTGTCCGATTTTGATGCAGATAATGAAGAGAAACCCGATGACCATACCGACAAAAACCAGAACATTCCCAAAAGTAATAACAGACTTAAACAAAATAACATACGTGGTTCTGCTCCGTATAGATCTAATAGACAAAAATATATAGGAATGAATACATCTGTTAAAAATGAACGCCATCAGTCAATAAAGTCATCATAAAATAAATCATTTTTTTGTGTAACAATTTGAATTGATTGAATTGATTGATTGATTGATTGGTTGTTGGTGTTTAACGTTGTTTATCACTATGTACATCTGGCTAATCACCTATCGTCTTTCTCCTTGGGATTTGTTTGTAATTATTAATTCCTTACAAAACGTACACGACTCGCATGCGTATTACAATTTATGATCTCTAGGCGTTCTGATTAGCAAGAAAGGTGAACAGTAAGTCCGTTATCTTTGAATACATATTGAAAGTTTTGATTTGAAAGTTTAATAAATTTAAAGACGAAAACGAGTGTTCCTACATGTAAAAACTAATCGTCAACATTATTATTTAAAATTTATATCAACTAGCAGTATATGTGCCAATTTTCCTATTCGTGGCAGAATTTTCAAATGTCCTCTCGCTCCGACGACATGGTATCGAATAGGCATTGAAATAAAAATAGAAGTAAAAGGAGATATGGGATATACGTTAATGACACAGAAACGCAGCAACACAAAAAAAAAAACAAAATACATCAAGATGTCGTCCTACACTCTAATATTGATGGCTGTAATTCGAATAAGTTGTCATAGAGAAAGGTTAAGAACCGTATACATGGTATAGAAAGATTAGATCTTGTGCAATTCAATGTATGTTTACATTAAGTTTATATACAGACTTTCAATAAAGATAACTAAAGAAAGAATGAAAGAAAAGTCATCGTTTGTAGTATAATGGGAGAGGTTTGGAGAAACCATCTAAGATATCTAGTTATGTAACAAGAGGTAAAGTGGTCATAAAAAAGACTGACACAATAACCGGAACCGTGGAGGGGGGAAGAAGGGAACCCCCCCCCCCCCCAAAAAAAAAAAAAAAAAAAAACACAAAATAACGGAGTTTATAATTCATGAACACCAATGAACTACAATACACCTATGACTGTTTGAAAAAATACGAGTGATAAAATTAACAAAAAACGATAAGGGAGATAAACAAAAGATTATTATACTTTATGTTAGCTATGAAGATTGTAAAGGAGTGAACAAAGTGTTTCATGTCCTACAATAGGATCATATTTTAAAGAATGTGGCGGGATAAACAATTTTGTGAGAGCTCAACCCTCCCCTAACCTGGGACAATGGTGTAACAGCACAACATAAGAGCAAACTGTAAAAATCAGTTGCAATTGGCTTAACTCATAAAAAACGGTACGAGGCACAAAAACAACTAACATTAAAACAATAGACACAAAGCACCGAAATAAGACTACTAATAAAAAAATCAATCATGTTATCCCAGACTAAAGAATCAATCAGTTCACTTCCAACGGATTTCGCGTGAAGACCTCATAAACAGTCTGATAAACGCATCACCCTGTGCAATGCCAAAATATAAGTAAATGCACAGGATGTAGGATAATGAGTTCTCATAACTGTACATATATATAGCAATATGTATTTTTAGTTATGTTTTAGTACCAACAAAAAACAATATTTAAACATTTTACTACTGTGTTTAATTGATAACCTTAAAGAAATTTTGTTTTTCAAAGGATCAATTAGTTCCCATGGATCGTACCCAAATTTACGGGCTTTATAAACAACATCACCGTAAAGATTAGAATGTGATATCCCGTGTTTAATAAGAACTCTACAGGTTCAGTCAAACTTCCTATCCAAATATTTGTATCTATGAAATAATTTGGTAAAGGTTTTAATTAATTTGTGTTAACCATGTTAACAAAATCCCCGACTTTTATTTTTTTAAATAATTTATCAGTTATATATAAATTACGTTCATTGAAATCTGAAACGCGACTACAGACACAGGCATATCGACCAAGATTTAGATGACTTTTGGTTATTGTTTGCTGTTTCACTCCCGTTGACTTGTACCCCACATCTACTTTTATTCAAGATGGTCGAGTGTTTATCCTCTGCTATGTAACTAGAAACATGATAGAGTTGTCAACGTATATTTGTTCCGCCTAACAGAAGTTCCACTGGAAACTTTGTTATAAACAATGTCATAATATCTGTTCCTGTTGGAACAAATATTCTATACCATTTATTCCATTAGGAACATATACTGTAATACTTATTCCAGTGGAAATAGTATTCCAGAATATTTTATCCATTTGGAACTTATATTATGAAGGAACTTCTATTTCGTGACAATGTATATATTATGCTTCAATCTTGCGTCGTACTGTTGAGATGATAAAAACATGTAAGATCATCGTGCTAGAAGATGTTATTTTAAACAATACTAATATTGTCTTGAATGTTGAATCTGGTAGATCCTCTAAATGAGCACGAGAAGGAACATTTTCTTCCTGTTGTCAAACGGTTCCTCGATATTCTTTGCTGGCTATCCACAGTCTTTAATCTCTGTTTACAAATGTTTTTGATCAATCTTCTTAAAGCAACACATAGGGGCCTGTGATTTTCTAATAAAAATGATTCTCTCCGATTACACAGGAAAGAGCTTAGGTAGAGGAGGTGAAAAGGAAGTAATTTTGACTAACTAAAGAAAAATAAAGAAGTTAACTAACGTCGGAAAATTTAGCCCCAACAACGTTCCCCAATGAGCCTACTTTTAACGAATGGTGCTGCATGGGGTCTATTGTGCTTGGAGCTTGGTACTCTCCAAAACACGGGACAATTAATATACGAAATTTTTGCATACAATAAATTCAGTTCATGCAGTTAATGAATACTGAACGGTCCAATACAATCAGTTCATGCAATCATTCAATCTGATTAAAATTCACATTTATCTTATGCTCGTATATATGAGCATACCGAAATCAGAGATCTATATTTTGATTTGAATGGCAATCATTGAATGACGCACGGTCAAATACAAGACATCCACCGACGCCTTTTTTCTTATATAAACCTATTATCAAGTTTTCTGCAAAGGAAATAAAATTATCAGCAGCGAGGCAAAATGTGAAGCTATCGTGTACTGAGCGCAACGAACAAAGTAAAAAAGGATTCATATGGTGTCGACCAGCTAATGTTTTACTATAACTATATCTGATGAAAATCTAATAATCGATTTATCGGACTGTATTTGTGGGTCTCATGATAGAAACAAAAGTTCTTTTCATTTTCACCATCAAACCGGGAGAGGACTTGATAAATTCGACTTAAACTTATCAACGTCGGTGGATTGTCCAGAAAAGAAAAGGCCTATAATAATATAAAATAAATTATGTTGAATTAACAATAGAGGCTCCTAGGAAACTGCATCGTTCAATTGGTAGAAATGTGCCGTATTGATATTTACCTAAAAATCAGAATAAACAGAGATATATATATATATTTATAAAAATCTTTCAATCCCATCTAAAATCAAATTGCCTATCCGGCCCTAATTAGTCATTACAATAGTTTTGCCAATGAAATGATTAATAGCTTTCAATTTGCTTGTTCATTGATTTTGTTTAAGATTTAACAGATTCACTCTAATTTTTTGGAGTTTTCAAGGCAATATTCTAAATCGCTATACAAGTTGAGTATAAATTGGGTGTCTATATTAAAATCGAGAGAATTCTTTTAATAATTTGCCAAAATGTAGTTTATATTATGTTTTTTCAAAAATATAATAAAACTATGGGTCACGGGCCTTTTTTTAAGCTGCATGTTGAGCAAAATTATCAGATTTTGTATATATAATACTGGAAACCCCAATTAAGCGTGATAGAAAGAAAACAAAACTATTGAATTTTAAGATAAAATATGAAAAGATAGCTCTTATAAAGTGCATTCAGAAAAACAAAATTGAAAAAAATGGTGTTACGGTAAATTCATAACACATTCCTTTATAAAAGTTATATTATCTGGTTTATCTTCCCTTATATGTTTAAGTTCATAAAGTTGAATCAAACAAACAAAAAAATATTCTGTATTTGTAAATATCTGACAAAACACATGATTCTCTTCATTTAGATAAAAAAAAAGTTTACAAATGAATTACATTTTCTCTCAAAATTTGCACTTTTCATAAAATAAGGAATTGTAAGACAATTATGATAGATTAAGAGTAGATGTTTGATAAACTTTACGACTGACGATTGATAACAATGAACGATGGACGACAAGTAATGACAATAATGTCAATGTAAATGGTGTTGAAACTAATTTTCGCACAGTTACTTATCGGGACTACCCCAACACAGGCACTTGTCTCTGAAATTTTTTTGTTATATTAAGGTATATAGGGGAAACAAAATTTCAGAGACAAGTGCCTGTTACCCCCAAGGGGGTATTTTTGGTCCACTTTTATTCTTATATTATGTAAACGGCATGTATGTAAGAATTAGTTCTGATTGTAAACTAATATTGTATGCAAATGATAGCACAATTGTGTTTTCGCATGGGAACCCGAAGGTAATGTCTGAAAACTTGGAAAGGAACCCCAGCCTTGCAGTCAATGGTTATATCCCTGCTGGTACAAAACGCAAACTTGGAAAAGTTGACAATTTCTAAGTCAGCTACGATAACCGTATTATTCCAGCTCAAACTTGTGTAAAATACTTGGGCCTAAACATAACTAGTGTCAAGCTATCCAGCAATTCTCATCCTACAATTCTCTTTATAAAAATCTATCCTGCAATTCGTCATCCTGCAATTGCGTTTGGAAAACTACTTGAGGGACAATTTTATTTTTCTTTAAAATCATAGTTTTTGACTTTTTTTTCAAAAACAAGATTTATATAGAAAATTAAAGATTTTTATATCCCATTAACAAAATTCTAAATTTAGTTTGCAAATTTCTAACTCATATTTAGGGTTTTGTAATTAGCATTTACAATGATATCATGATGACGATTCCAAAAAAGTATTATCTGTTAATAAGTCCAGGATGTGATTCGTATAAACCCATGTTTAACCCACATTTGCGATTTTCGAAACTCATATCAACGACTAAAAACATAGAATTTTGATGTAAAAATAAATTTTTTCATGGTATACCTACAACACAACTTCTATTTGAAACTGGGTCA